TTATTGAACTTGGTGGTGGGAAGTTAAGGGACTTTGTTTAATTTCTAATTTCTCAGTGAAGTACGAATCATTACCATCATCTGAAAGTGGAGAAGGGAGGAAGAGGGTAGAGGATATTTGAGGCGAGGGCAGGTTTCAGAATGGCGTTTGAGAGGGTGAGAGAATGAGTATGCCAGGGAAGCGTGGCGTGGTTGGGCGGCGGGCTGGTGGGGTCTGTGATTCTGCGTTTGGTAAGGCTGGTGTTCTTTAGCAGTGCTCAGAAGTATAGGGCACGGCATGGATGAGTTTAACCTGGGGCAGAGTTAGGGTTGGAAACCTTTACAGCACAAGTCAGATAAAATTATGGGGGTGCTCTAAATGTAATATTTATGGGAAAGATCACTAGTAGAAGATTCAGTATTTTAAGGCATTAACATCAGGTTTTGGCGCTACTTGAATGAAACTCATGATTTGATTTCTTTGCCACAAGGTGGCACCATCATATGGCTTTACCTATTTGGATCGTGTATCTAGTACCTTTTTGGAGCACATATATTCTCAGAAAGTGATAAAGCCAATCATTTAGATTCCAGAATCTAGGAGGAAGCTCATGCTTACCTTTGGAGTATAAAAGTCTTAATAATCATAATCCAGTGCCTGCACATTTCAGCCAAATTCTCATCTGTCTTTCCCACCCTCACAGAGCTCCTTTTGAAGTCATTGGAGCTCCCTGTGCTGAGCATTTCGTGGGGGTGCAGAGCAAGGTGAGAGTTTGGGACCGCTAAGATAAATAAGTGTTTTAAATACAGTTGTGTTATCCATCAAGTATTTCTTAAGTATATTAATGGAATAGAACACTAGAGGGCAGCATTTACCCTTTTCCCATTTTTAAATTTTCATCAAGTCTCTGGAAATCTCTTCAATGTTGTGTGCATTTTTGAAAATAATTATGGTTAGATGGTTTCAAGGTGTGGCACATATATTGATAGCAAAGCCATGTTTGAGAACTATTCATATTTTTTCAGTAAGAGGATCTTTTAATTCAGCTTGTACGTAGCTGGGGGCTTACAGTCTGATCTAAGTTGGAGAAAATTCCTAAAGACAAAAATATGTAAACAGGCTTTAAAAGGAGATTGTTACTAATTTAGACTCAGTGTTACCTGAACCTCTGGTAAGCACAAATAAAATGCTGACAGTCTGGCAGTGCCAGTGACTGTTTAAGGCTTCGACAGGGGGACTTTGAAATCTGTAACTGGTCCCCGCCTGATCACAGAAATAGACTTGTTTACTTGGCTTATCCAGCATCAGATGCAGCAATTCAAATTGAACACTCACAAACATTTCTATTAGCCTGGGTCTGGCCAGTTCTCTGTGAATCATGTTTTACCATCAGATATTGAAATCCAGGAATTAATAAGTAAAGGGAAAGTGAAATTTTGGATCAGTAGTACTTGATACTGGGCTAAACTTTTCAACTAATGTACAGATCCTTTTAAGTAAATAAAATCTATACATGAATTATTAGTATATGACCCTTGGGCCAGAAGGGTGGCATTTATGATCCTGTCAAGCCCTGGATATTTTTTGGGGAAAAGAGAACAACCCTAATACCCTTCAAAAAATTAGTTGAAAATTTAGCATAAAATTTGAATTGTCATAGAAGATATCACAAAAAAGCTAATTTTCAAAATAGATTTTTCACTTGAAAACCACTTTCTGGCTTTTTGTTAAAAATAGTTTAATTACATGTAAACATAACTTTCTGATTTGTCAAAATTTAGAACACATCCTGGCTTTCTAGAAATTAACATTTTGGTTATACTGAAAGCTGTTTGTATGTTTTTATTGCTTTATCAGGTTATTCTCGGACACTATAATTGGCTCTCCTACGAAGACGTCTTCATCAGTGCTTTCAGTTTTGGGAATGGCTTACAGATGTTGGGCCAGAAGCCGAAGACCAACATCGCCATCTTCTGTGAGACCAGGGCCGAGTGGATGATCGCCGCGCAGGCCTGCTTCATGTACAACTTCCAGCGTATGTACACCTGCCGCCCTTCGGGAAGAGTGGGCCTGCGCTGTGGTGGGCGAGAAGACGCGGGCTTTTGTTCCAAATATTTCACTCTTGCAAGATTAAAATTCCAATGTTAGTTTTCACCTTGCGTTTAATCGGTGGAGAACTTCTTGTGGTAACTTAGAATTATTAATCTGTTTTGGAAGAGGAACCAGTTGAGGAACAGAGGGTGCAGTCACTGTAGTAAGGGGACTTTCTGGGCTGAGGGAGCCGTGCCTGCACATTGCTACCAATCACGGAGGGTTTCCCCTTTGAAGGTAGTGTCATTTTGATACGTCATCTCTAAGAGGAACAGTTAGCTTCTGAAACACTTCCAGGACTCAAATCCAGGTATAGGTACAGGGCTAAGCAGTAGAGATTTTTTATATTGTAACTATTTGAGTGGTATTCATGCTGCTTTAGTCTGTGAGGTAGCCCTGGAAGCATCTTGCCAAAATGTGATGCTAAGTATGGACATTGTCTTACCCTTTGGATGAAACAGAAAGGTACATTTACCAGATTTCTTGCTGTAAATGCCTTCACTGTTTTTTGTTTTTTAAGTTGGCATGCCTGTTTATTTTCAGGTTTAGGTTTACAAAATGTTTCTTTTGAGAAGCTTTAAAATAATGATCTCAAAGCCACTTTAAGTCTGACTCTTTTGAATTAGGCAGAAGGCAAAAAAAAACCCCCCAAAAACCCCCAAAAATACAACAGCCCAAAACTCCCATCTGTTTAATTTTTGCATTTCTAAGAATGTTTTTCTTTAGATTTTCTGCTTTAGAATAAGTAACATGACACTTATTGGTGATATTTTTTATAATGTGTAATATCTTAAATGTGATCTCCAACGCGTTATCTTACTGGGGTTTTTTTTTTTGTTTTTTGTTTTTGTATTTTAGTTCCAAGTAGTTAACAACTAAGATTTCACATTTTAGAAGTTGGATATAATTACTTCCAATATGGCAGTCCCACAGAAACATCTGTAGGTGAAACAAAATGAAATAAAAAATTATTTTATTTTAAAATATTGGGAATCTTGGGGGAAATTAGGGAAGGAAGGGTGAGTAGGCCTAATGTTAATCAGCATATTAAAATAATTTGGGAAAACACTGCACAGTTAGATCGTAAACTGTGGACCTAACGATTGACCCATGTACTGTTCGAATATTTGACGTGCCCTTCTCTTTTCCGCATAGTTGTTACGTTGTATGCGACTCTAGGAGGCCCGGCAATTGTTCATGGATTAAATGAAACAGAGGTGACAAACATCATTACCAGTAAAGAACTTTTGCAAACAAAGTTGAAGGTGAGGACTGGAGGGTTTTTATAACTGCCCCATCTTTAGGGTTTTCAGTGTCATGAACTCTATTATGGATACTTAGTTCTTTTATCTTTACAATCCAAAATGTCTTTGTAAACTTAGAGGACTATCATAATTTTATTCCTTTAGAAAAGAAAAAATAGACTTCATATATACATACTGTTAGTGCACAGAGTTAACATTAATTGTTAATATGCTCATAGCTAAGGTGAAGGGATTACAGCTTCATTGTGCGCAACTATTTTCTAGTCTATTTTTAATCAATTTGTAATTTTGATGTTATTTTTAAACTAGTAATTTTATTTCTGAAGCATTGAGTCATTATGAGTTCAGAATATTGTTAAATGAGAAAAAGAGAGACTTTATGGAACTACAGGAAAAATGGGTTTCTTTAATTTCTAGATACCTCCCTGTGAAAACAATAATTTCCGATGTTTTGTTTTTTAAAATACACACGTCTGCAAATGCACCCCATCCCCTTCCCCTGGATCTTTATTAGCCCCTTACTGCCCCTTTTACCAAAGAGCAGGGATCCACACAGCAGATCTCATGCTGTAAAATAGTAATTTAAATTTCAGATCAGTATTCCTGCATCGGAAAAAGTGGTATTCATGCCAGTGTAGTCCCTTCCCCCTTTTTTCGAGGCAAGAAATTAGTAATTCACTGAATATGGTAAACTGCTGTTCTTGTGTCCTGGACCATTGGCTAAGCTGTGTCATAAAGGATAACGAACAGGAGGAACGCTTGTGTTTTTCCAGGATATAGTCTCTCTAGTCCCACGCCTGCGGCACATCATCACGGTGGATGGGAAGCCACCCACCTGGTCCGAGTTCCCCAAGGGCGTCATTGTGCACACCATGGCCGCAGTGCAGGCTCTGGGAGCCAAGGCGAACACGGGTAGGTCGCGCTCCCCAGCCCCTGTGTGCTCCGCAGTGACCCTGTCCTCCAGAATCGTTCCTCCTCCATCGCTCGGGGAAGTCAGGCCACTGTTGGGACAGCTCGCTGCCTTTTCAGGAGAGGCTTAAGGCAGCATCCAAACAGAAATTTATGGACGTTCTAACAGTAGTATTTATTTGAAATTAGTTTAAGACACGTTTTACTTTATGCAGTTTTTCTGTTTCCTTTTTCTGATAGTTCTGGGTGGTTTAAAGTTAGTTTTATAAATAATGGCATTAAACTTGTTATGTGAATTATCTGTGAGTAGTAAAAGATAGCTAAACCTAGATCCCTCCTTTTACTTCTGGTTCCAACTGTACTTCCTCCAGAGGGTGTATCCTTTTATCCTCCAACGAGCACACCCAGGCACAGTGACTCTGGGAGCCCCTCCTCTCAAAGCTGTGCCAGAAGATGCCAGGGAGCGCGCCAGTGTTGAGGGGTGTCGGAGAGAGCTGCTTGGGTGTTGGGTTGTACTTCCTTTATGGTTGGGAATTAGTGATTGATTCAGTGTACGCATTGGCTCAGCTCTGCAATGAGCTTATGCTAACGTTCATTCTGGGCATATTGCCTTTTAGGTGCTGGTGGGACATTCAGATGTCACTATCTAATGGGCAGTAGCCTGTACAAGACTGGCACTCTGGAGTTCAGTTGTGAGATTTAGAAGCCAGAAGCAGTTAGTTTGTGTGTGTGTGTGTGTTTTCTTTTTTCTACCAAGGCTGTAGATCTCCCCAGTTCACTTTGAGGGGCCAGCCACAGTCCCCAGAGGCGACAAGATCCGCTGCTATTAGCATGTCCGTTTAAACTGCTGCTATGACAGACAGCTTAGGTGCTCTGCGGTTAGCTTTTCATTACTGCTGTGGAGTGGGCGAGGTCACCCACAGAGAACGGTGTGTTCAGTGCCACCCAGGCCTGGGCAGTGGGGAAGGAGGGAAACGGGTGCCAGCGAGGCAGGCGTCGCCAGCAGGAGCAGGAGACTGGAGGAGTCAGACAACACAGGGATTGCAGGACTAGCTGACTTAGCACGTGTCACCTCCGAGAGAGCCATTTCCAGGAGATGGTGGGGCGGAGGAGTGAGTGTGCTTCAGGAAGGGTGGGCTTGAATGGAGGCATCGGTGAAGAAGTCTGTCTGGGCAGGTTGGAGAGAAGGGTTGAAGGGGTTCCCTGGGGAACATGTTGAAAATTTGCCCCTCACTTACGTAAGAAGTCCGCATTTGGGCAGATCCCGGATTACGTCGGCAGATCCTCTGTGCCGTCCATGACCCACTTCTGAGTCTCCTCTGTAGAACATGGGCTGTTGTCCTCAGGCTTGTGCATCTGGGGGGCATTGTCTTTTGAGCCAGGATTCTGAGTGTAGCCAAGTGTTAACTTGGCCACTGAGCAGAGAACATTTTTAGCAAATGTCTAGGTACCCTTCCTTGTCCAGCCACGCTAATTTTTAGTTGAATTGCTGGAATAGCTTTTTGTCTTTGTGCCTCCTTTCCTAAGTTAGGTAGCCACGCAGCAGCCAAAGCCATCGTGGCCAGGATGATGACAATTCCCCATCGAAAACAGCATTGCTGTCCACCCCAGAGCACAGTCCTCTAAGTCCTTGGCATGGGCCTGGCTGCTGTGCCACCCTCTTTTCCTGCCACCTTCCCCTCGCTCACTTCATCCCCCCTGCACTTCCTGCTGCCCTTCACAATGCCAGCACGTTCCTCCTTGGGGCCTTCGCACTTGCCTGTTCCGTGCTTGAAGCAGTCTCCCCACCCCAGGGTTTCCCTGGCTCCCTTTCTCACTGTCTTCAGGTCTTCACTAAAGTATCAACTCCACAGAGAGGCCTCCCCCGACCTCTCCATCTGCGTAGCTTCTACTGTGATCTTCTCACCTTGTCTTGCTTTAGTTATTTTTATAGCTCTTCCTGTGTTATAGCTTTATATGTTTGTTTACCCCACTGGACTAAATGTTCCTTATGTGCTGGGACTTGATCTGTTTGGTTGACCTCTGTATGATTACAAGGAATAATTGTTGAATTGAGTTAATAAACAAGTGATTATGAAACATTGGTGCTTCGGCTAAATTCCCTGAAGCATGTGTGTATGTGTGTGTGTGTGTGTTTTCTTCAATACAGAAAGCAAACCGCAGAGCACGCCCGCGCCCTCGGATATCGCAGTGATCATGTACACAAGCGGGTCCACAGGACTGCCCAAGGGGGTCATGATCTCCCACAGTAACATCGTTGCCGGAGTCATGGGGATGGCGGAAAGGATCCCATGGCTGGGGTATGTCGTGGTGCATAAATAGCAGCGTTCGCGGCATTTAGTCATGTATGGTTGAATTCGTCTGTGGAGTCTGTTTATACTAGGCATTTCCTTAAAAAAAAAAAAAAAAGACATTAAAATTAATAAGAAAACAGTTATAGTCTTGAAGTTTTACAATGTAGTTTATAGATAACATTGTTGACAGTTAACTTTTTACTTAAAAAGTGTAAATTTTAACTGTAGTCATTTTTATATCTAAATATGTTATAGTTCAGGTGAACAAATAACTTCCTATATCCAGTAAGTGTTTATTGAGGTTCTGAAGTTGGGGGGGAGGGGTCGGGGGAGGGGTGCACTGCAGTGGGGGAGCCGGGGGGAGGGGCCAGGTGGGGTTTCATGGGCCTGGAATCGTAAAGGAATCGTTCCCAGAGACGGAATCCACAGGATGATGACTGATCTAGGCAGTGGTGGGATATTTTTGAAGCCCTGTGCATAGAAATTACGCACACGTGTACACACATGCACACACATGGGTTATTGTGGAATTGAGTTTGGCAGCGGGGAGAGAAATTTCTGTTATTCATGCTTAATTTTCAGAAAAAGAGTTAAGAGCAACACTTTTCTACCAGTTTGCTTCAGTTACCCTTCACGGTTTGAGGATGGTGGCAGTTCTTGAAATACTGAATATATGCTCTCATACACAGGCACCCATATACACTTTCTTATGTAAGGTATAATTGTTTATTATTTATAATTTAATGTAGCTCTCAGAACAGGAATCTCTTCTGTAAGATTCCTGGCAGACTGTGTGGGTTCTGTTTGAGCTCTGCATGGTAGCCCACTAGCTTTAGGGAGCATTTTCTCCTGGGATTACTTCTGTCCTTCTAAAGAAGAACCCTTTAATTTTTTTTTACCCCTGTCTTTTATTTCTTCCGACTTAGTGCTTCACTTCTGCAGTACTTAGAACTGATTAGTGAGTGCCCTCAAGTAGGACTGGACACAGAGCCACGTACTTAGAGCGTCTACCTCCTCGATTTTAGGTTGAGCCGGAGTATTTTTTCCTTGACATGCCCCGTGTCTGCCTGGGCCTCTGTCTCTGTCTCTCGCTCTCCTCTCACGCAGGCCACCGCCTGGAGCAGAGTCATATTAATGCCCGAGGCCCTTCCTGTGCCTTCTCAGGCTTGGTCCTCCTGTTGCCACTTTCAGCTGAGAGAGCACCTGACAGTTTCTTCTGCTCTTTCCCTTTTCTTACAGAGAGAAAGATGTTTACATTGGATATCTGCCCCTGGCCCATGTTTTAGAATTAAGTGCTGAGCTTGTCTGTCTTTCTCATGGATGCTGCATAGGCTACTCTTCACCACAGACTTTAGCAGATCAGGTAAATGAAATGTCTGTGACTTAGCGATACTAAAAAAAAAAATAATAATAATCATTTTTATAATACATTTCCCCCATCACCTTGACTATATTTTGAAGATGAGAGTTAATGATCTTAAAATAATCACTTGCCTTTTAATTGCTGTTTAGAATATAAGTAAATTAAAATGATGAATTTATAATACGCTTTTTTGATCTAAGAATTCCATTGAGTTTTTAAAATAAGAATCACTTTATGTAGATCACTTCCTCTCTCCATAGTCTTCAAAAATAAAAAAAGGAAGCAAAGGGGACACCTCCGTGTTGAAGCCGACACTGATGGCAGCGGTTCCGGTAAGAACTGACCACTAATTAATACTGAGTTCTAAAGAAGTACCATCTGCCACAGGACATAGATGCTAGTGGAAAAGATACTGTTGTCAAGGTAGTTTATGTAGGATTTATTTTTTACTGATTTTCTGTATTGCTTTAAGTTCTTCAGATTTACTCAGTTTTATTTTAGCTTTACTTTTTTTCTCTTATTCTCAGCTTCTCTATGTATTATCATATTATCACCTCTTTTCTCCAAATAGCTTCTTGTTCAAATTATTTTCATGTGGTTTGTTTGCTTTCAGTAGAAACCTGAAGCTTGGCAGGAGATAGGAGAGAAGGTTTAAGATTACTTCCTTCTAAGCAAATAGTATAATTACCTCCTGAGCCCTCAGGGGAAGTCTGGCCTAGACTCGGGCGAAGAGAAGGTGGTGCCACTTGGAAGGGCCTGAGCGTCCTGATAGAGCACCGGGTGGGGAGGGGCCTGAGAGTGAGAGCAGTGGAAATGAGCCACAATGATTTTTGCTTCTCAGCACAAGTCACGTGTGGCTTTCTGATGTCTTTCTGATGTCGTTTGAAAGTGTTGGGGTTACGATCAGATACCTGAGCACTCAACATCTAAGCATAATTGCATAGTTATTCCAAAATCAACATAAATAACCAACAGTTTTGGAATTTCTATAGGTATATAGTTTCCTTGGCAGTATCTTGTTTTAAGTTTTCAGTTCATATAAAAATTAAATATTATTTAAAATTGTAGAGGAAAAACTTTCTGAAGTCATCAAAGTATACTCCATAGTAGTCATAGGCCAAGCAAGCAAAATGCAGCAGAGAAAATTTTTCCTCGGTGCAGCACTGAAAGGCAAAACCAATCAAAATAATCCCAAAGAGCAAAGGACGTGGGACGCTGTAACTAAAACCATTTCATGTAGTTGTTTGTTTATTTATTTAGTGAGTTTAGTTTTTAGTTCAGAATAAATAAGGTAAAGAAAAGTAATACAAAAAAATCAATATTGTAATGACACGTTACTGCCCCAACTTCTTTATGTCTCTTTTTTCACTACCTATGAGTGCCTAGATAGATTTTTGCTATTAAAAGTTTTTATAGAACCTTCATTTTTAAACTAATTTGTGGCTGTATTTTAAAAATGTGCTCCTATATAATATCTTTTAAAATGTCTCAGTATTGATAAAAATATTAATCTGATATGGAGCTTTTAATATGTGTAAGGCAGCTGGTAGCATTATTAACTGTATTAACTCATTTTTATACATCTAGGAAATAATGGATCGAATCTACAAAAATGTCATGAATAAAGTGAATGAAATGAGTAGTTTTCAACGTAACCTGTTTATTCTGGCCTATAATTATAAAATGGAACAGATTTCAAAAGGGCGAAGTACTCCGCTGTGTGACAGGTAAATCAGGGCTCTCACTCTTAATAATTTAGTCATTTTGTTACATTAATAGCCCTGTTAATTGAGGTAGTTGTAGGAGATAAATTTATTTTAAAAGGTTAGAGGGATTCTTTAAAAAAAAACCTATCTTGCATAACAATACGAACAATTTAAAAAGATGGCCATTTTATTTGAAAAAGTTGCACTTCAAATTTTACTTTATTTAATCATATGCTTACATTTTATATGGACACTTAATGTGATTTTAATTATTTTGAGAATTAGTTTCTCTTTGCTGTTAAACTTAATTCATATGAATATAAGGTGGCAACCAAATATGGTTAATGTCTTTTGTTTAAACAGACCTATTTTGTGTTTTTGTAGTGCTAATAGAGTAAGTAGATTTAATTATAAAATAGTTCAGAATTTAGAAAATGAAAATATGGCATTCAGATTACTTATGGGAATATTAATAATGTGATAGTTTTCAAATGCTTCATTTTATTGAAAAC